AAATTTTCTTTACTATTTTAGGCCAAGATCAATCCATTAATTTAGACTTTAGAATTTATCAAATTCTTAGTTCAATATTAAGTCTTTTATTAGCCCTAAGATTATATAAGCTCGGTCCAAGGATTTTTTTTTTTTCTTTTCTCTCGCACGTGTAGATTAAAATGCCGCTTCCGAGTCTAGCAATTGAATCAAGGATCATTGAGATATATTCAGTCAATATGTGGTCAATTAATTAGAATGGCTGATGTTTTAATAGGATGACACTTAATGGGGGGATTAAGCACCTCATTTTGCCACCTAAGGGTACATTAAGGACACATGTCCTTATTAAATGAAAAGAGAAATCCTATCACCTCTTAACTTTTCCTATATATGCATAGCCATCAGACCTTAGATCATTTTTCTTCAACTCACGTTAGTTAAGTTCCCAATATTCAGCCAACACTTAGAACTAAGAGAGAAAACCGAGAGGAACTTGTATGCACGGGTGATTGCCGAGAAGAGCCCTACTCGAGCCACAGCATAATTCTTCCACGTTCGCCTATACCAAGCTATCAATAGAGTGTTGTAGGACTGCTAGGTGATTAAAGAATCCATTAGTTGAAGTCCTAAGTGATCAAAGTTAAGCCAAAGCTCGAGTGACCCCCAGAAGACCCGAGAAGAGGCTTTAGTGCCGTTTTTCGAGTTCGGTGAAGGTAAACTAGTGGTTACCAATTTTTCTAGTAATTTCATGATATTATAAGAATTATCATGTAAAGAAATCAATCCATGCTCATGCTTTAGAATTAATTTCGAATATTTAAATAGTTAAGGCTTAAATTTAGATTTTTAGTAGCAATCATGTTTAGGCCAAGTTTGATATGTTAAAAATAATGATAAATCATGTCTTTGATGTTGGTGAAGTTATAGCTTGTTTGAAGTTCATGTACTCGGTCCATTTGCGTGTGAATTTAGTTCATTTTTCACATCCGAGTCAATTTGGGTTTAGTCCGAGTAAAAGCCAACATTTAAGCTTCAAAATGCATGATTTTAAAAGCAATGTATTCGGCCCTGAGTAAGTTTTGAAGAGTTTTATGTTTGTTCAGTGATTGTGGTATCGTACGAGCCATATCGGCCATATCGAACCATTTTAAAATCTAACCGAGGTCTACCAGGGTTTCTATGCATTTTTTAATAATTTTAGATCATTTTATGTTGGTTTGGGTTTCATGTCACTGGATAAATTTCTGGACGGCCGGTAAGGTACCGATCGTAGCAGTTTGTCGCGCACATAGCGCACAGCGCCCGGCCCCGGTCTGCAGAGGCTAAGTTCCGACAGTGTTCGCGCCTACACACTCGGTCCCAGTGCACGCCGACAGCGCCCGGCAGCACTTAGTCGATGTCCGCGTGCATAGTACCAGCGCCTGAAGCGCTCCGTAAGTCCTGGTAGCGCCTTGCCAGCCCCAGTACGCGTGGTCTCGAGCCAGACGCTCGTGCCGTGCGAAGGTTAACCCGAGGTGGGTTAACTATGTCTAGGGACTATCTGTACGTGCCCAGCCACACGCTCCAGTGTCCAGTTGGTCCCTATCATGCCCAGCAGCACCAGATAGGTACCAGCCGCGCCAGTGTCAGCGAGGGTAGTATCTGGCCGTCCCTGTCCGCACCTAGTCGTGCCAGCAGTGTCTAGCTGCACCCAGCCGTGCCAGCAACGCCCAGTACCACGCCCGGTCGCACCTAGTTGTGCTCAGCGCCGCGCCAGAGAACTAGTAGGCTCTGCGCGGGACCGAGCCCGGCTAGCTCGAGCCAGCAGTGACCATCCGGTCCATTGCAAACTGGCGGTCCAGTCAGATCTAGTTTAGTCCAACCCTGTTCAGTCAGTGAGCGAACTTGCCAGTTCGACCGGTGGTTCGAGTCATTTTTGGTTCGTGAGTTCGGTCCGAGTTATTTTCTGAATTTCTAAGTAATTTTCTAAGCCAAATCTGTTCAGTTTAAGTTTTATCTGTTATTTCCGGATTTAGTATAATTTTATTTTGAACCCTTAGAGCGTTCCAGTTAATCCAGATGAGTTAGAATTAAAAACTAAGTATCTTAGCATATTATTGAGTATTCTGAGCACCTTATATTTTGTGTAGCTTGAGAAGACAGCTATTTCAGTTCAGCACTGCCATTTTCTTTTCCAGCAGAACAGGTGGGGATCCAGACAGGATATTACATTAACTATAATATCTGATATCATGTCCGAGGTATGTATATAGTTTATCCGCTTAGGGTGGCGGCCAGTTTTACCCCATCCTAGCGCCGCACCAGAGCACTAGTAGGCCCTGCGCGGGACCGAGCCCGGCTAAACCGAGTCAGCAGCGACCACCCGGTCCATAGCAAACCGGCTGCCCAGTCCAGTCCAGTTCAGTCCGACCTGGTTCAGTCAGTGAGCGAACTTGCCAGTTCGACCGACGGTTAGAGTCATTTTTGGTTCGTGAGTTCGATCTGAGTTATTTTCTAAATTTTTAAGTAATTTTCTGAGCCAAATCTATTCAGTTTAAGTTTTATCAGTTATTTTCGGAGTTAGTATAATTTTATTTTGAACCCTTAGAGCATTCCAGTTAATCCAGATGAGTTAAAATTAAATACCAAGCATTTTAGCATATTATTGAGTATTCTGAGCATAGCACTTAGTATATTATATGCTTATATTTTGTGTAGCTTGAGAAGACAGCTATTTCAGTTCAGCACTGCCCTTTTCCTTTCCAGCAGAACAGGTAAGGACCCAGACTGGGTATTACATTGACTATAATGTCTGATATCGTGTCCGAGGTATGTATATAGTTTATTCGCTTAGGGTGGTAGCCAGTTTTACCCATCCTAGGTTCTGGTTGTGGCCCAGTTTTCCTTAATAATCCATCAGAGTGTGCACATGGTTACCGGCCCAGATTGCCAGGAGATTTCAGTTTCAGTTTCAGTTCAGTTTATATATACTAACGATCATGATATTGTTATTATTATTGTTGTTTACTTTAGTATGGGTTTCTGCAGAGCACAGTGGACTTTCGTGCTCACGCCCCACTATTATATTTTTCAGATGACAGGGTCGGACCGCAGACGTGAGTTCAGATGTAGTGGTTGTGGTCGTGGACTCGGCCAGTTGCCGTTTTGTGGATTTTTGTATATATTTCAGTCTGTATATATATTATGCCACCTTTTACTTCCGCTAACATTCAGTTTTCAAACTTGCATGTCAGTATGTACAGGTTTCAGTATTTATCCGGATCACTAGTCAGATCTGGGTTAAGTTTACATGCTAGTTTGATTAAAATTTATAATATGTTTTCTTTATGTCTAAACTTGTAGTTACACCAAGTAAAATAAAAACAGATTTTCAGAACAAATAAGTTTTAGTAGCATCCCGAGATGAGTTAAATGATTTCGAAAAATTTATAAGTATTTTCGAAATAAAGTTTGCGAAAATTTACTCTGATACTAGTAAGATAGCGGGGTGTTACATTGCGGCTCTAGGATACTTGGGAGCAATAGTACTCCGTCAGAGTAGTCCTCCGCTAGTTACAGTTTAGTAGCTGATTGATTCAGTGATTTGGTTGTCTTAATTTATAAATATTTGTGTTTCTTTAATTATAATCT